GAGAAAACATCTTCCTTCCACTTTCTTTGCCATATATTTTTTTCAGATCTTTAAGTTTGTAAGAAAATTGCTAGTATTGACATTATTGAAGACAGGGAAACCATTTTTATTTTGTTATGTATCCTAAATGCTGATGAAAATTTGTAAAAAAAGTCAAAACCAGTAAGTACAGAGATTTATTTAAGCATTAACTCATGGTAGGGGAATGCAAGTCCTTTTTTTCATCAGTCAGGTCATAGCTAGGGTTTCTTCCAGAACAAAAAGATAAAGCATGCACAGATATTGCTGCAATTAAATTTTCTGTGTTTCTGAAAGTACCGTATTACTTTACTCATTATAGCAGAGTCACAAGTATATATGTCATAAAACATGTATATTATCATTTGAGTTAATCACTTAAAACTTGTGTTATTAAAGAGATATGTCATGAACTTTACTTAAAATGGACATTGTTTCAGTTCTCTAGCACCTGAAATTAATGGAAAAATGGGCCTACTGTGTGGTCTAGAATCATTGGGTTTCACTGCTATTAAGATTCATCCCTGTGCACAGATCCAATTGTAACTTCTTTGTAAATCTCATTCTGAGGCACTGTTTTAAGGAGAAGAAAAATTTGGCTTGAATTTCCTTCTGGTTCCCTGTGCCAGAGGATTCACATCCAGATGAACCTTGATGTTTGGAAACTGATATTAAAAAAGAACTGGATGACGAACAAATTGTATAACAGTGAGATTTTTTTGTGACTGCTTTTTTAAATGCCTCCTTCAAAAATTTTATTAACATTTTCAGTTTACAGAGTATTACTGATTTCATGGTGGGAAACAAAGAAGATCTTGCTTAGTTTTCAGTAGTGTCTGGATTAAAAAAAGGCTTACTAGCCCTGAGGAGTCTGCTTATAAATAAATAGAGATTAAAATCCATCCAACAGTGAGATGTCTATCACTTTTTTTTCTGGACATTGGTAGGCTAGTGGGTAATCATGACAGGTGCTCAAATAAAAAGAAAACCAACTTCAATTACTCCTAACTGCAGTCATTATCATTCATGACTGACAGCTCACTTGAATGCAAGCTTCCCTGTACTGCAGGCTGGGGGAGAACCTGTTCAATCCTAGGCAAAAGCTGTCTGCTCACCGAGTAATCGTAATCGTACATGACTCCTTCCTCAGAACTGGTGCACCGGGTTTGCACGGCATGGGTTTGGGGCTGCAGGGGCCACGCAAACCCAACACAATAGGCGCCATCCGCAGAAGTTCCTCAAGATCACTCTGCTGTGAGGTTGGAATCCTTCAAACTCTACCTGCCACAGGTGCATCCACAGCGTTTCACTTGCTATTCTCTATAGGTGCCGCTCTGCAAAGTGTAGGTCACCTGTCCAAAACACACCCCCCCACTATGGTAAAGACTGTGAGGAACTGCTCATGTTGTTCTCCTTCCTGTTCTTGTATGAAGTTTGTTTGCTTGTTTGGATGGCTGCTTAGATTGTAATTTTAAAAAGTGAAGGACTAAATGAAAGGGTTTCAACCTCTCCCCACTAATCTGTAAGGAACATTTCCTTTGTGGTATGGTATTGGTGGGTCTGTAGCTGAGTGAATTGTCTGTGGTTAGCCATTTTGTTTATTTTCTTCTGAGGAGCTGGTTCTGCATCAGCTATATCTGAGAAATTTCAGCATTTTAAAAGCTGCGGAGGCAGGCAGTAAGTCCTCTGGAGGAAGTGTGAAAACTGATATCCCTACTGAATATCAAGTTTATGAATTACTGGCACTCTTAGGAGGGAGGGGGAGAAGATGCGAATCTGAAGGAACACAGGGAAACGTGGCTGTGCAGTACACATGCCTTCCCCCAAGTCAAGAGACTCTTCAGCAAAAGCAATAGGAACAAAGTGTTGTCCGAGGACTGGGTGCCAGCTGGGAGAGCTGGGTGCATGCTTGGATAGATTTTTTTCCCCTCAAACAGAGAGGGAACCTTATAAAAACTGAGGTAAAGCACAGAGAGGTGAGAAAGTTCTTTTGTTTTGTTACTGTGCACCTTTTTCTAAAGCTAGTAAATGTTTTGTTGATCTTGCACTTTAAAGAAACACATTCATTCTTCTCTTTAACCTTAATATTTGTCTAGCACTAACAGTGCCAGGACACCTGGCTAACCACAGGCCTGCTTGCTCCCAGGCAAGTGTGTTCTGTTACTATGGGCCCTGCCTCCCACATGAAGTGTCTCACCCTCTCTACAAGATCCAAGGGAAGCCCGAGGTAGCAAGGTGCTGCTTCATTAATTTGCCTAGTCTAGTCTGAGATTGGCCTGCTGCTTGAGAGAGATTGAGTTGCTGCTTGGGAGAGATGTCTTCCAGTGCTGAGGATTAGCCCAAGTGTTTTGGCAAAAGGTAGAGGAGGTAGAGAGCTTGAATTCCAGAAGTCCATGTCAGTTTGTATCAATGTGATTATGATGTGGGACATTACAGGGATCATACAGCCCGGAAGCTTTGAGTACAAACTGGACAAAAGATGTTCACCTGCCCATCTATTGACTCAAGTAGTTGAAATACGAATGAGTGTCAAAGGCAGTAGTGGAAATGCATGAGCGCACTTATAGGTGACGCCTAATTTGCTTTACTACTGCATGAAATTATGTAGATGCTGAAACATTTCCTCAGTGCCATCTCAGACTCAAACAGTTGTCTTCTCTTTTGTGGTGCCAGGATCCCTAGTGTATTTTTTCAGATAAACAACTGTTTATCAGGTATTTATCAGTTGGTATGTACCATGCCATAGAACTGGTAAGATATACTTATTGTCTTGAAAATCATAATGGGATAGCTCTTGCTACATTTGCTTTTAACGATGGCGAAAATTCAAGAAGCATACTTACTGTGAGGATCGTTAGCTTGGATTAGTGCAGGTAACATAAAATCTCTCGTAATGTAATAAGCAATAACAAAAAGACGTTTTTTTCCACTTCTCTCTCTTCTTGTAGTAACATTTTGAGAATATAAGCATGTGTAGCCGTAATAAACCTGCTAAATGCCCTCTGCCTTGGGAAGTATAACAAGTACAAATTATCTGTTGTTGTGGTTTAACCACAGCTGGCAACCAAGTCTCACGCAGCTGCTTGCACACTCCCCCCTACTAGGATAGGGAAGAGAAGTGGAAGAATACAAGTGAGAGAACTCATGGGATGAGGAAAAGACAGTAGGTAAAGCAAAAAGCCCTTTGTGCAAATGAAGAAAAATGAGGCAGTCAGTTACTCCTTCCCATGGCAGGCAGGTGTTCAGCCATCTCCAGGAGAGCAGGGCTCCATCACTTTTAACGGTGACTTGGGAAGACAAACACCATCATTCCAAATGTGTCCCCCTTCCTCCTTCTTCCCCCAGCTTTATATGCTGAGCAGTACGCCATATAGTGTGGGGCATCCCTTTGGTCAGTTGGGGTGAGATGTCCCAGCTGTGTCCCCTCCCAAGTCCTTGTGCACCCCCAGCCTGCTCGCTGGTGGGGTGAGGTGAGGAGGATAAAAGGCCTTGAGGCTGTGCAAGCACTGCTCAGCAATAATGAAAACATCCCTGGGTTATCGACACTGTTTCCAGCACAAATCCAAAACACAGCCCCTTGCTAGCCACCATGAAAAGCACTAACTGTGCCTGAGCCAAAACCAGCACACCTGGTAGCAGTAGCATTCAAGAAATATGCATCTTTCCCACCCTCCAGACACATGCAGCCAGTAATGTGGAATGTAGCACAGAGCCTTGTCCTGACTAGTAACACAATTGTCCCTCCTTCCATCTGTCCTGGGTTTCAGTTAACTTCAGTGGAAAGGGGCTTGTATTGGGCAGAATCAGACAGAGAGGCTGTGGGCCAGGTTGTCTTCTCACTTCAGGAAGTTTTGTATGGACTTCATTCGAATTACTAGCATACATGAGAGAGAGAACCAAAGATCTGAAAAACTTACAGCCCAAGTCACGCACTACCAAATTTTCCTACCAGTACTCAGCACAGAACAGTGGAGTAAGTACCAGGCACCTATGTTTAACAATGTCTTTCCAATTCCCTTTTCTTTTTTTTCTGTTTGATGACAGGTTGAAGCCATTTATTACTTTGCTGTGGGTGATGTACCAGCGGACACAAAGCAACTACTCCTTGAGAATGTTTCTGACAATCCCTGTCCAGTCAACACTGTATCTTTCAATGCTAGGGAGGATGCAACTATCATTTTTTTGAAAGAGTTGAGCCGCTTGGCCTCTGGCAGGTATGACAAAGAAGAAACACAGTAATGATTTCAGTACTTGTGCTTTGCTGCTGGGAATGGTTTTATTCATGGGGAAAATGAGGCAAAGCAGGTCAGTAAGACATCTGGGGAAACAGCGAAAATAGTCTGAGAGATACGACTAAAATGCAGGACCTACTCGAACAGACCACCTTCTCTCCACATATGTGCTCACTGGCTTGCAGAAAGGCCTTTCCTTTTGTTGTATCCTGAATTGTTTGCCATCTGCTCCTCTTTTGAAGTCTGAAAAATTGTTTAGAGGAAAGGGTCACAACATAAACCAAAAAAAGTTTTTATTATATTGCTTTGTACTTTGTAAGTGTCCACAGGCACCAGCAAAGAACCTAGGGTTGGATTAAGTGTCATATAGACATGTACTGAAAAGGCAATGCCTGTCCTAAACAGGCAGTCCTTGAACAACAGAAAATTAATATGGTGTTATCTGTCAGGCCTGGCTGTATGGAAATACAGTTCTGCACCATGCTCTCTAGCATCTATTTGATATGGTTGATGGAAACTGATCCATTCCACATGGCTCGTTGGCTACTTTATCCTGGAAATCAGCCATGTGGTGAGAATCAGCCTTCAGCAGAAAGGGATAATAAAACTTTAATCTTGATTCTGATATTGAAATCAGGAAAACAAATGAACAAATACAAAAACGCCACAATACCAAATTCATGATGAACAGCAGGAGGGCAGTAGGAGCCAGTAGGTGTTTGTCTGCTTAACAGAAGTCTCCGTACAGTTACAGAGCTGTGAAATGGCTGCTAGCTCTTTCTGTTCCACGGTTGTTTGTGCAAGAGTGGGAAGACCTCCAGCAGTAGAAATCTCCCAAATGACAGCACAGCAATTCCTAAGATGGCAGCTGCTTAGCTCTTTTATAGCCATCTGTGTTTAGAAGCAGCTTTTAAGAGATGGAGTGTCTGCCAAAAAACCAAGACTGTGGGAAAGTGCTATGTTTGCTCTGCTCTGATGTGTGTCTAAGTGACTGTGGTCATTTAAAACTGCGGCACCTCCATGACACCAGGTACATTGCCAGTCACCATTCATCATTTTCTTTTGGCAGTGTTTTCGCCTCCATTATAAATGTTGAGTATTTCTTCTATGGCAGAGAAAGAGGCAAGAAGGACTGTGTCAGGGAGCTCAGAGGAATAATTTTCTTTGATATGATTTCCACTACCTTCTTTTTAGATGAGTCTGGCTTTGGTGTGGAGACATTTTGGGCCAAATAATATCTCACTGGTGGGTATTTGCCCAATAGCTGCCTATAAGTTTGAGTCAGCTTTCCCTTAAGAATTGCCAAGTTCATGGGCTTTTCATGGCTTGAGCCTGTTCCTAGTTTAGTTCTGTTCTAGAAATGCATCTTTTTCCTGCTCTGAGAGCTTTTTTGTTTTGACAATGAGGGTAAATTAAGTCTGCTTAACTTCCTGATTTGTATCTCAATAATGAAATAAATGTTCCTGTTGGGCTTTCAACTGAGAAGATAATCTGATAAAAAGGTGTTAGTGTCATCTCAGACATCTCAAGTGACGTGCTTGCTCAGCATGTTAAAAGCATTAATTAAAAATAGATTTCCAGGAGATTGAGAAGGAAGGTGCATCAGAGTAAATGATACCAAAATGAAAGGATGTTCTTCATGAGAAGGCTTTAGAATGTACACAACTGTATTTAGAAGGTTTGATAATATTCATAGTGTTGTTGGAGTTGAAGGCTTAGTTATCCTAAACAGATAAGCAAATAATTCTGAAGTTGTACGCCACTATGATCCCGCATGTGTGACATACATCTTATTAAAGTTAGAAAAGTATTTATGTATGTTACATACTGGTGAAAATTCATTTTGTATTACAGATTCCATGCTTTTGCTGAGAAGAATGACTACAGAGGTGCCACTGGATCTACACTAAAATATGAAGAGGATGGAAAAGGTCTAATTGCCCTGAATTCCATGAAAGTGAAAGGGCGAATGCCGCTAGGTAGGCAATACAAAAACCAAGATGATACTGATTTTTCAGTGAAATTTCAGAATAGAAACATAATATAGGAACTTGCTAAGTATAAAGTCAACAGAAGCCTTCTGTGGGCATGGGTGGGGTGAAGGCAGGACTGATCAAATTGAAATTCTATGGGTGGGAAGGAAAGGGAAAAGAGAGAAGTGAAGAGAGTAGAGCATGTGCATGTGAGAATGAAAGAGAAGTGAAAAAAAAGAACAACAACACTTATTTAGGGAGATGAAAAGTAATACTGGCATGCTTATGCCAGTGAACATGTGGAAGTGTATAAAGAAATGGCTGAAAGGGAAAGCAGTAGTGTGGAAGACCATCTGATAAAAGAATCACATCACTACAGGCCAAGTTCCTATATAATTTAAGGAGATTAAATCCATATGAGGTTGACTTGCTTCTCTCAATCTCTGAGTTTGTCATAAAGAAAGGCAACATGTTCAATATCTTCATCAATGACCTGGATGAAGGGATAGAGTGTACCCTCAGCAAATCTGCTGATGACACAAAAAGGGGAGGGATGGCTGACACACCAGAAGGCTGTGCTGCCATTCAGCATTACTTGGACAGCCTGGAGAGTTGGGTGGGGAGAAACCCTGTGAAATTTGACAAGGGCAAGCATAGGGTACTGCACTTAGAAAGAAATAACCCCATATATCAGTACCAGTTGGAGGCTGAACTGCTGGAAAGCAGCTCTCTGGAAAGGGATCTGGGAGTCCTAGTGGATAACAGGCTGACCATGAGCCAGCGATGTGCCCTTGTGGCCTGGAAGGACCATGGTGTCCTGGGGCATCAAGAAGAGTGTGGCCAGCAGATAGAGGGAAGCCATCCTCCCCTTCTACTTTGTCCTGGTGAGGCCACATCTGGAATAGTGTGTCCAGTCCTGGGCTCTCCAGTTCAAGGACAGGGAACTGCTGAAGAGGGTACAGCAAAGGGCTATGAAGATGATTAGGGGACTAGAACACCTGACATATGAATAAAGGCTGAGGGACTTGGGACTTTTTAGTCTGGAGAGAAGATTGAGGTGAGACTTTATCAGTTCTTATAAATACTTAAAGGATGAGTGTCAGGAGGATGGGGCCAACCTTTTTTCAGTGGTGCCCAGTGACAAGTCAAGAGGTAATGAGCACAAACTTGAACATAGGAAGTTCCATCTAAACATGAAGAGGAACTTCCTTACTTTGAGGGTGGCAGAGCACTGGAACAGGCTGCCCAGAGTGATGGTGGAGTCTCCTTCTCTGGAGACATTCAAAGCCCACCTGGATGCCATCCTGTGCAACCTGCTGTAGGGGAACCTGCTTTGGCAGAGGAGTTGGACTAGATGAGCTCTAAAGGTCACTTCCAATCCCTAACATTCTGTGATTCTATGATTCTGTAACAAGCACAGTAAAATAGAATCATAGAATCATAGAATCATAGAATCATAGAATCATCATAGAACAATTCAGGTTGGAAAACACCCTTGGGATTATCGAGTCCAACCATTAACCCTACACTACAAGTTCACCCCTAAACCATATCACCCAACACCTCATCTAAACGACACTTAAACACATCCAGGGATGGCGACTCAACCACCTCCCTAGGCAGTCTATTCCAGT